CATTTAAAAAAAAAAAAAAAAAATTTGGTTTACAATTGTTCTGAAATAATAGTATCTTCTTTTTCTTTCTTTCTCACCCTCTCTCTCTCTCTCTCTCCTTCTTTTCTCTCTCCCTCACTTTTCCATTTTGCCTTTTGCATTTTGTTTTTATTTTAAAATGCACTTTCTAACTTAGTTTCTTTTCGTTGAAATGGGATGCTTCATTACTCAAAAACTTTTCTTTTTCCAACATTTTTCAATTCTTTATGAATTCTCAAAGCTATCCCATTTACTTATCATTTGTTTCATACCACAAATTCGAGTTGTTGTTGTTGTTTTTTTTTTTTTTTTTAATACTTTCAAAAAGCCATTTCTGATAATAAACTTGAAAATAAAATTTCATTAATTTCTATTAAATATGAATTTTTAGCGTATTGATAATCTGGTAATAACATATTGATAATCTGAGAATAACGCAATTATAATCTGAGAACAGCGAACTGATAACCCGAGGATAACGTACTGATAATCTGATGATAACGTGTTGATAATCTGAGGACAGCGTACTGATAATTTGAGGATAACGCATTTATAATCTGATGGTAGCGTACTGATAATCTGAGGATAACGCATTTATAATCTGATGGTAGCGTACTGATAATCTGAGGATAACGCAATTATAATCTGAGAATAGCGAACTGATAACCCGAGGATAACGTACTGATAATCTGAGGATAAAGCATTTATAATCTGATGGTAACGTACTGATAATCTGAGGATAACGCACTGATAATCTGATGATAACGCACTGATAATCGTGGAAGATTGCAATGGCAGTTAGACTTAATAATTTCTGTTTGTGATTGATAAATATTATAGCAATAGCTACAGTTTAATAAAATGTATATTTTATTAAATAAATAAAATATATTCTATTTACATTTCATATTAGAAACGAACTCATTAATATGTGACTGTAATAAAGTATTGAATTCAATTGGTTAAGTTATTGAAAAGTAAATCGATTAGCATTCATCAAATAATAAAATGATTTCAGATTTTTAAAATGATTTCAAATTTATGACATTTTTAAAATATTACTTGAATTGTTGAAATTATTGATATTTTTTTTTTTTATTTATTCTCTTGTGAAATCAACAGATATTCGAAAGATTTGAAAAATGTTGGCACCTTTTTTTCTTTTTTTGAAATTCAAAAATTTTTCCATCAAATAAATTGTAGGAAAAAAAAAGTTTACATATATTTATTTGTATTTGCGAACATTTACAGAAATTATTGAAGAAAGAATCTATTAATTCAATTTAATGTTTTATTATAAATTTTGATTTAATTACCCTAATTTTTCCTCTTTTTTTTCTTCAAAATTTTTATCACCAAAATATTTTTATTTTTGTAAATGAAAATTAGCTAATGTTAGTGCGGTAAATATGAAGCAGATTAGCTAACTCTTACATAGCTTAAAATATATTAACTTCACTTCATATAAAACAATTTCCAACTGACGCAAAGAATTGTTACAGCTAATGCTTTGCACTCTCGAGAATCTCTCAATTACTTATCTTATCTATTGGTAAGAAGGCTCGAGAGTGGCTTGCATTATTAGCATTGTGATAGGAATTCTCTTAATATCAAATGGTTCCAAATGTTTAACAAATATTTATTATTGGTTATTACTTTTAAATGTTAAATAATTTTTTTTAAATGTTTTTTCTTAGCTTGTAATCAAATAATTTCATTGTGATAAATTTTAAATTAATTAATTAATTAATTAATCAGATTTCTTCTGCTGTCAACATACCTGTGCTGTCACATTGTCTCCTGTCACAAATCTGAGCAATGTCCTGGGCAGATTTAGTTAACAATAATTTGGTTGGCTCTGGTAATGTGTCTAAAGCTGCAATTTGCGGTTTTGATGGATCAATTTGGGGAAAGTCCGATAATTTTAAGGTAATAAATTTAGTTTTTTTTTTTTTTAGAATTTTTAAAATAACTTTAAGAAATTAAAAAAAAAATATTCCTATACTTCAAATTTTATCATATCATATCACCATATGAAATTGATCAATGATAGCATAATAAAATTCATAAAGCCTTCAGCAATTTAATTTAAAACTTTACTTTTAATTGCATTTAATTTGTTTGTTGACGTCATATTTCTCATAAAATTTCATTCTTTTCTGTGGTTTATCATTTTAACATGTCAAAGTGTTATTTATTGCCAATTAATTTTCTTGCTTAATCGTGAGCTTATGTAAAAAAAAAAAAAAAAAAAAAAAAAAACTTAATAAACTTCATTTATAGGTTAATTTATAAGTTAAAGTAATGTGAAAAAGAAAAAAGTGAAATTATAAAATTTCAAAAAAGATTGGAAGATTAGAAATTATCAGTAAAATTATTTTCTAAACATACAATAAATGTAATAAGTTTGATCAATAAATTTTAAATCTTTCAAACAATCATAAAATCAAAATTGTTAAAATCCCTAAAAAAAAAAAAAAAAAAAAAGAAACAATTAATACCAAAAAGTTTTTGCAGCTTCTTTAAGCTATTTCATCCTAAAATATAATGGATAAGTTGATGAGGAGAGAGAGAGAGAGAGAGAGAGAGAGAGAGAAAGAAGAATTAAAAATTAGTTGAAAAAAGTGTTTTTTAAATTATCCGAGTTAATGATAGCTAATAATGAAAAATGTTATCATTTGAAGAAAAAAAAAAAATATTACTAAAATTGTTATTGTATTGATTATTAAGTAATTTCAATTAAAAAAAAATTTTTTTTCTTACTAATTAAATTTAAAAATTAATTTAAAAATTGTTATAAAAAGTAGGATTTGTTGAAAAGAAAATGAAAACAAATAAATCGAAGAAAAAAAAAAGAAAGTTTTTCGGTAATTTATTCTTACTAATTACAATGTAATCATACAACTTTGTAATTACTTTAGTAACAAAGTAAACAAATGTAATAATACTTAAATAAATATTTGAAGAGTGAAAAAAAAGTAATTAAAAAATTAAAAATTTCAGTTAGAGCAAACGGAAGCTGCAGCAGCCGGAAAAGGATTCCAGAATAAGGATGCCTTATTGGGAACAGGTATGAAATTTGAGGGAGAGAAATACTTCGTACTACAAGCAGATGATGAAAGAATTATCGGTAAGAAAGGATCAACCGGGTTTTTCATCTATAAAACTGGACAAGGTAAACAATTACATATCATCATATATTTTAATTAAATTTTAATTTTATACAAATTTGATTTTTTTCTTAAAAAAAAAAGTATTATGGAAATATTTTTTTTTTTATAAAATATAAAACGAGAAAAATATTTTAACAAAAATTATTTTTTGTATAATTTAGTATTATTCAAATTGTTATATCGTTTTTTCTTTTTTTTTTTTTGAATCCAATTATTTTTGTTAATTTAAAATCTTTTGAAATTAAATTCTTTCTTACCTTTTTTGTTTTTTTTCTACATGTAATCATTTATGAAAATTTTTTTTTTTATTAGTTAACAAAATTTTATGATCATAATTTTATTTTATTTTTATTTTTTAGCAGTGATAATTTCAATATACGAAGGTGGCGTACAACCGGAACAATGCAGCAAAACAACCGGAGCACTTGCCGATTATTTTAAAAGCATAAATTATTGAATGAATGATAATTTTGTTATTATCTATGTTCCTTTTTTCGTTTGGTTAGTAATTTCCATTTTTTTTTAAATTTTCATCACTTTTTACAATCATTACCATTAATTAGTATCACTAACATTAAGTCATTTTATTATTATTATTATTATTATTATTATTATTATTATTATTATTATTATTATTATTATTATTATTATTATTATTATTATTATTATTATTTTATAAACTTTATAATTTAAATTTTAAAATTAACTAATATAAATGTATTCGAAAGATAATGTATAAAAACTCTTCCTCTTCAACAATTAATAAAAGCTTTCAGAATTGAAGGACAAATTATTTTCTCCTATTTATATTAGCTACTAAAATTTAAAATAATTCTTTTTGAATTTCAAAAAAGGAAAAAAAAATGAAAATGAACAAAAGAATTTAGTGAAATTCATTAAAAGAAAAGAAAATTTAGAGAATTTAAAAGATCAAAAGATGGATTATTTAAATATATAAAATGTTTTAATTATTGCTAATTTAATTTATTTAAATTTCAGATATGGGTGCCTTAATTACTGCTGCGTTACGTCATTGTTCCACACGTACGTTTGAGCAACTTCCCGTGAAGACAATCTATGCTCAATGTTGCATTTCCGTTGGATAATTACAATTTTATTTATTGTGATTATAACTATGCTATCAATATCTGTGCTTTGTTTCTAATTATACTTCGTTTTATGCAAAAAAAGTGTGAAAAAGTGAAATTAAAAAATTTAAGTTTAATTTTTTCTTTTTAATGAAATTTTAGCAAATTAATATTTCAATTCAATTTTAATTTTTATATTTATTTCCTGAATATGCAAAAGCATTTATTTCTTATTTTTAAATCCAACCAAGCATTTTATGCAATTTCAATTAATTTTATAAATTAAAATGAAATTCCAATCATTTTGTTTATTTTGAATTGTTTAATTAATATTGAAAAAACAAATTTTCAAATGTACATCGAAGTAATTTAAATTCATTTGTGTAATGTATGATAAGAACAATATCAGATATGATAAGGATAAAAAATGATAACAAACAAAATAAGTGAAAAAAAAAATGCATAGAATGAAATTATTTAATAATAATAATAATTATTATTTTTTTTTTTTCATATTAATAAAAGTTATAATCATTGAATGTAAACATTCGCCCTTCTCATCATTTATGATATAATTAAATGCAAATTTAAAAATAATAACAAGAGCAATTTTTTCAAAATTAATTTGAATATCCAAAAAAAAAAAAAAAAAAATTCTTAATTTATCATTTGCTAAAATTTACATCAATAATTGTGTTACGAGTAATTTCGCTGTGCTGCAATGGTTGCATTCCATCAAGTGTAAGCAAATTTGAAAAATTAATTAAATTCTTTAAAATGTTTATTTTAGATTTTAAATGAGTAGTAATCGCTCTTTTTTTTTCTTATTTTTCTTTCTATTTATTAATTTTAACACATTTATTTATTATTTTAATTTCGTTTTTTTTTTATTTTCAAATAAATTTATTATTATTACTGTCATTTTAATTAAAATTTAATATAATTTACTTACTTACTTACTTACCTACTTGCTTACTTACTTATTAGGTATAGTGGTAAATTTTATCGTTCAATACGATTTATACTACGTCGTAAGCCGTGTCTCTATATAACAGCAATTTTATGTTTAAGTGCTGTAATTCTTGCTCTGTTACTTCTTGGTGCTATAAAATTTTATAATTCATCGGTGGTTCGTTTCAACTTTTTTTTTTTTTTTTTTTGAAATTGTAAAAGAATTATGAAAATGTTTTTATTTCACTAAAACATATATTTAAAATAGAAATTTATTGAAAATTAGATAAGATGAAAAAATTTTTATCACCAATTTTCTCATCATTTGTTATCACTTAATTTATTTTTTTTTCATTTTAACCTTTTAGTTCAGTCGATATATTTCAGGTTAAGCGTAATCTTTTACATTATGAAATTTACCACTTATTTCAGCGTGAATTACGTGTTGCTCGTCGAGAAGAGAAAATTCTTGCACGTTATATAAATCGAATTGATTTCTTTCATTGCAATTATAATTTCAGCTCAGAAGCTGATATTGTAAATTTATTACAATATTATAATGGAAATAAAAAAAAAAAAATTGTAACAAGAAATTGACATAATTTTAAAATAAGAAAAAGTATTAGTCTAAATATTATGAATAAATATGAAATGAATTACTTCCGGATATCATTAACGAATATTATTACATTTTTCTAATAAATGTAATAAACATTTTACATTTTCTATTCCATTTAAAAGGATTTCAAAAAAAAAAAAAAATTTTTTTTTTTGAATTTTATTTAAATTCTTTTAGGAGCAATGTAATGCATGTGGTGATGCTTCATTTGTTCATCTACCAGTGAGAACATTAAACAATCTTGATGTAACATGTGTTGATCTAAGTCATTGGGTAATAAATTTAATTCAAATAAGTTCAATTCAAATAATAAATTTAATTCATCTTTACTATCATCTAATAAATTAATTGAATGATTTGAGTATATCCGAAATATTCACAACAATTTTAGATGTTAAAAACTTCATTTAATTTTAACAATAATTTAAATTTTAACATCATTTAAAGATTTAAGATAAAATGTGCAACATATGCAAGAGAGAAGATTTTAGAAATGTCAAAATTGAAGTAACATTTATCAAAAGATTAATAGCTTGCTAGTGATAAAATGCATGCATGCCTGCACACATACTGCATGCAGATCTATGAAAACTTTTATTCTAGTTAATCACTCTAACATATTTCTGAAATTATCTCTTTGCATACACATCCGAAAATGTATTCCGGTTAATCCGGTTACACTTACTATATATATGTATGTAAATTTAAAATTTAACATATAATAATTGAAAGAGTTAAACTATAAATATTATAATTATTTTTTAATCTTTTACCTTTACTATCATCTAATTGTTACAGTAATTATCTTTAATTGAATAAATATCTCAAACTTTTAGTAACAGAAATTGCAATTAATTTTTCTTTAAAAGTGGAAAAGAAAATTCGTAAAATTTATCAAATTTTTTTTCAACAGTTCTATTTATTGAATAGAAATATTCGAAATATCAAATTTTTTGATAATAAAAGTTACTCATCGATGAAATCTATTTGTTTTTTATAAGCATGTAATTAGAGATTTTATAAAGTTATTGAAATTAATTCAGAATAAAATAGAAAAAGTTTACAATTAAAATTTTTTTTTCTTTAAAATTATTTAATAAATGGATAAACTAATCTCAAAAATTTCATAATTTTAAATTATTCTGACAAAAAATTTCAGAAATCATAGACAGAATGTACATTATTTCCTTTTTTTTCTAGAATTTTAGATTATCTACCAGAAAATTCTCGAATTCATAAATTTCTTTTTTTTGGATATGATCGAGAAATTTTCTTCCATTTAAATGTAAACAAATTTATTTGCTTGTTGGATAGACATTAGAACAAATTACTTACTGATTGTTACAATAATATAATCTGTAAAATAAATAAAAAAAAAAAGAGACATTGTCTAATAATTATAAAATTTTAGACAAAATGTTTTGATGAAAATGTGGAATGTAATAGTTTAGCAAATTTACCTTATCAACAATGCGAAGGATTACGTGGTATTCCCGTACGTGAAAGTGAAGCTATTTCAAGTGACTTATTTGTTAAGGTATTTCAAATTTTGTTTATCAAAAATTTTTAAAATGATTATTCATTCCTAAATGTCTTCTCAACATTTGAGCTATTTTAAATTCAAATAATTCGCAATTATCTTTTGTATTTTTTAAATCGCAAAAAAAAAAATTAAGAAATCCATCAATATTTATATTTGTTACAATATAATTAATTTAATATTTTATTCTTTTAAAATATATATAAAATTAGAATTGGTTGAAAAGAAAATGAAAATAATTAAATAAAATTTTTAGTTGCTTACAGCAAATATTACATTGCTAATGAATGAAACAGTTGTGTCACAGCAAATTGTCGCACTTTGTCCAAGATGTCACTTTTTTGGCAGACCATATCAATCGTATCACTTTTTTTCTTTTTTGTTTTGTTTTTAATTAAAAATGATGCTCATTTTGCTAGCAAAAACTACAAAAGTTTAAGATAAGTGAAAATTTTTTCTACAAATTGAATTTTAATTAAATTTTAAAATTTAAATTTTAGATCTATGGGAACATGTGTTCAAAAATTACATACAATGCGTCCTGGTTGGCCAATGCAATTTCAATGGTGTGATTGGTATCAACCTTCTGATGGATGTTTTTAAATTATTCAAAAGAAAGAAAAAGAAAGCCTATCTTTTTTTTTTTACTTCAAATTGTCTTGTTGAATTATTTCGAGAATCATTTATCAGTTAAAAATTTATGATAAAATATTCCATCAACAAACGATGCATTTGAAAATTGATATAATTTCTATAAATAAAACTATAAAGTCTTGCTAAGCTAATAGTGCTTTATTTATCGGAAACTTTCATCTTCTTACTCAAATTATAAAAATTTCTTTTATTCTATTAAATGTATTTTCAAGTGAATGATAATTTGGAAATTTTTTCATGATATTAATCTGATAAGATAACGACTTATCACTAAAATGATTGGTTCTCGTTGTTAAATTGTCTATTTTAAGTGTATGATTACGCGTTCTCACATTACTTTATGTATAAGTAATGAAGAATAAGTTAGAATTTATAGGAATAGAGAATTCCTTCTTGTACTTTTATCATCCAAAAGTATCTAAATGAAATTTCTAGCAATTTATGCTTTCTTAAATTTTTATTAAAAAACTACAATCATTTTAACTTGTACGATTTTATTTACTAAAGTGTTTTTTTCTTGAATTATAACAGAATACTTATAATTTATTTTATATTTTTGATATTAATAGTATTTTTTAATTTTTCAAACATTTCAAATTCTAGACGACTAGTTTAGATTAGTAGTTGAACAATCTTTTACTATTCTTTAAAATTTCTAATACTTTTTTTTTTAAAAAAATAAAAAATGATTTTTGCATAATTGTTAATAATACTAATATCTAATTTGAATATTTTAAACCTAGTATTTGCTATGAACTATTTCAAATTTAAAAAGAAAGCAATTATCATCGGATGGTCGGCTTTCAAATTTTATTTCTACTGTTCCTTAATTTAATGCTATTTTGTGACGGTGCACTATTATATTCTGGAATTATTGAACATAACAGACAATTTGTATGTGTCAAACTTTTTCTAATGATTTTTATGTTTTAACTCTTTGTGCATTTATTTCCAAAAAAAAAAAAAAAAAAAAAAAAATGATAATAAACATCTTTTAGGTAAAAAATTAAAACATTTAATAGTTGTATTATTATTCATTATTTTCACTATGTTACCAAGTAATTGAGTTCAACAATTTTCAGAAACCTTATTTTGCTAGAAATGACTATTTGACAATTAATCATGATGTGAAAACCACGATGACCGAAACAGAAAATCCGGAAAAAGACTAGAAAAGAAATCATTTTTTATTTGCAAGAATGTACACATATCCTTAATCATTTATTAGTTTTATTCTTATTTGTGCTAATAAATTTATTTGCTAAATGAAAATTTTAATGAATTTCAAAAAAAAAAAAAAGTGAAAAATGAAAGGTAAATGAATTTCTTATGTGAAATGAAGAAGATTCAATTAGAAAATTGACGATGAATTTAATGATCCAAACGATCCCAACAACGAAATGAGACATTTAGAAAATTGAAATTTCCAAATGCATCCTTTAGCCATCCATAACTACTACTACTACTACTACTACCACCAATACTACTTATGAACCAATTTCAAGTTTTTGGCACAAATACCAATTATTTACACATACAAGACGTGCACCAAATAATTACGAACACTTATCGTTTCCTTTTGATGATTACAATCAAATGAATTGACACAACTAACCTATTTTTGGGTGCAGTGAAATTTGAATGGATGACAAACAGTTACACAACGCACTCTTTGACGATGTCTTTCATTACTTCATCTCTTCTAGCTAATTTTTCTTTGCTTATTATTATTCGATCAGTTATTCTACAAGAAAGTAAGTTTTTGCTTCATATGTTCAAAAAAAAAAAAAATATTATTCTTAAAGTTTAGTTAAATACATATTAATTATTTAATTATCTATTGCTTTATATCAAATGAAAAGAGTTGGAATGAAATGTTTAACAAAAAATTTTAAGAAACTATAGACTAAATTAAATTATTTAGAATTGCTCAATGATAATCCAGTAAATTGGCTTCATGATTTTGTTCGACGCGGAAAAGGTTCTGTTTCCAAGTTACCATTTGATGAAATATTCATCGATCAGTTAAATGGCGATACAAGTAGCATTTCAACAAATACTTTAACTGAAATGTCTGGAGAGAATGCAAATGTTGTAAAAATTGGTGGTGATGTTAGTCGCTTGCTTTTTCTGGATGAAGTTCAAAGGTTAATGTAATCAAATGAATTAGAAAGAGTTATACTCTCATTTGTAAATTTAATTTTAGTAATTGATCTCCCATTTTCAACAGTTAACCATCGGTAATATAAACTATAAAGTGAGTAAATACATAGTTGTTTATTTATTTATGACAATGAATACTTCCTGGTTAATTAAAGTTAGATACCGTGATCTTTTCGGCAACCTGATCCGGAAGTGACAAATAGAGAGAGAGAAAGAGAGAGAAGTGATAAAATGAAGGAATGAATTATCGAAATAATTTTATTTAACTAATTTTCTATTTCAGTTTAATATGACAACCAATAGTGCTTCAAAAGTTATTCCAATTTCTTCTGTTGTACCTATAATAAAAATGAAATCACAAACAGCGTTATCAGCTACAACAATGACCTCATCAATAACACCAACATTCATACCGGAATTAGTAACAGCCGAAACAGGAACATATTTCCGGCAATTTGGAAATGCTACCCAACAAACTCAAGTTGATTTCAAACGACTTGCATCGCTATTACAAGTAAAAGTTTTTTTTTTTTTTTTTTACTATAAACAGCTCATATGTTACTCATCCCTTTTCCTGTCATCTTCGTTATTTTGAGCAAACCGTTCAGAAATATCCGGATAATCAAAATATCACAGTTAGATTTTAGAAAACAATGATAATTTAATTTCTAGCAAATGATTGATAAACGAAAAGCAAAGAAAAGTTATATTACAAAGGAGGAGGAAATGAAGCAAAATGTTAAGCTTAAGAATGATTCACTAGCCGGAGAAACAATTCATTCATCTTTTCAACAAAATACATTCAGTGTATCGGATCTGAAACCTATTGAGATTCGTTATCATCATTTGAATCCGGATTCGAAACCAAAAAACAGTTATGCCATTTCTAAGTATGTTTTCAACTCCATATTTCTTCTCTGGTTATAAGGATGAAGATAAAGGAGAGAAACAAAAATCTATAAGATAAAATTGGCATAGTGCTCATTGCTTATGTTGACCTTTGACATTCTTAATTTCCCTCTATTGAATTAGATTACAAGTTAAGTTATTGATGTAAGATCAACTCTTATTTAAATTTGCTAGCATATTTACATCTATGAATATTAACTCTCATCATGATGTACTATAAAATATATTCGTTAATAGTATTTTATCACTATAACTCTTTTTCTTTTTTAGAAATTTGGAAATAAAAGATGCAAAAAAGATATCTGAAAATGGCAATTCTATTGGAGAAAATGAAGGTTTGTAATTGAGGCATATCAAAAATGATTTGAATAAATTAAATCAAAATGTTTTAATTTATAAAAATGACTAAATCATTGATTAGATTAAAAACAGATGATAACAGTATCTTTTGTGTTATACATACTTAGTAAACTTCATATTTTGATTTAAAAAAAATTCAAAATAAGATAACTTAAGCATTGAAAAGAAGTAGTCGATATCCTAATGAAATATTGGCATCAATTTTTATAACTAAGCATAAAAAGGTGAACGATGATATGGCATTATCAAAAATTGCATTACCAACATCTGAAATGCATACCAATGAGAATCCGATGATTTATATTATCAGACAAGTAAGTTAGTTACTATATTTGCAAAAGTTTGATTATTTCACTAATTGAGCCGAAAAATTACTGTTCTATTTCTCAGATCAAAAAAAAAAAAAAAAAAAAGGCCAAGTTAAAAAAAAATAATAATACAAACAAGAATGATGTTTGGTATACAAAGAAAAATAAAATTTACTGTAAAATGGTATTTATTAAAGGTCAAAGGAATACTAAATGCAAAGTTGACCTTTACTAGGCTTATTAACTATTATTATTATCATTTTAGGGTTCCATTGTACAGAACAATGGAAATGGTTACGAATTTGTGTCCACAATTACACTTGTTGTTGATAATGGAGAAAAGATTCTGATAGACACTGGGCTCTCTACTGATATCAACGAGCGCACTTGGATATTGCAAAGTTTGTTTAACAAAGATGCATTACTACTAATTAATTAATTATGATTATCTTCAAAATGTACATTTCCATTTTCAATAGTTTCAAATATATAAATATTTTTTTGCTCTAGGATTAAGTGAACTTGGTGCTCCACCACCATCTATCAATCATGTAATCACAACTCATGGGCATCCTGATCATTCGGGTAACACTAATCATTTCCCGGATGCACTTCATTATGCTGGGAGATTTGTGCATCTTGGAACGCACTCCTACTTTTCACGAATTTTCGAGGTAACTTTTCAAAAATTATTAACATTTTAATCAATAAACATTATCCTAGATTTGAGAAACTATTATAGCATAAATGCATTTATGCTATAATAGTAAACTTCGAATTAATTGTACAAAACAAAAAAAAAAAGTTATAAAACTAGATAAAGATTTCAGACTGATGTTGAAAAATTAACGGAAAATGTTTATTTATTGAAAACACCAGGTCATACATCTGATGACATCTCTGTTCTCATAAATAACACTAGTTTTTTTGGCACCGTCATTGTTTCCGGTAAGATCAATACTTTTAGCAAACAAAACTTTCAAATTCTTTTCTCTCTTCAAAGTTGAGAATTGTATCAGCCTAATTGTTGTCAATATCAATCACACCTATTAGAATCTATTTACGACGAAAAATTCTCAATAACAAATAAAAATATTAATCGTTTGATTAGTTCTTTATTCATTTAAACTTTTTATAGTTTAGCATTCTCAAGCTTTTTTTCAAAAAAAAAAGTAGGGCAATAAAAAATTTATTTTCAAAAAATTTTACTGGTGAAAAGACTACTTTCATTTGTATTGAAGGTGATATATTTATACAAAAGGAAGATATGAAAGATTCAAGAATATGGAAACAGTTAGCAACAAATGAAATACAACAAGAAGAATCAAGAAGACGATTACTTTGCTTAGCTGATTGTATCATTCCAGGACATGGGTCATTATTTCGGGTAAAAAGTAGCATGAAACGAATGCTAAATTGCCCTGATAGCTATTGATAATTATCATTATCATTAATCGAAAAACAAGCAAAAATATTTTACACAACAAAGAAAATTTTCCTAGCCCTTATAATATATCAAGGATTCTGCAGTAAGCAGTAATTAATAAAATTAATGATAAAGAAGTAACCATTAAATCAATAATAAAGAACAGATCATTTTCCTTCAAATGAATTGAATAATTACTGTGCATGGATATTACATGATAACATGACAAGCCAACTATTAATTTTTATCATGTAATTGTTTTTGGAAAGACTAACCAACTGTCTGCATTCAATTGTTATGCATAATTAAATTATTAATTATGGCATAGACTGTCATACTCTATTATAATATCGTTAATCAAACTTAAAGGTGAAAAAAAAATATGAATATCATATTTTATTACATTTGCGAAAAAATAGAAAAAAACCAATTTGCTGTAAACATTGTTGCAAAAAAAAAATCTACTAGTAAGAGAACTGAATAAATGTTCGGTAAAAACATACAGAATACATGAAAAAAAAAAAAAGTTTAACTTATAGAAAGAAATAAGAAAACAAAATCTTAGAATAAATTTCGAAGACCACTTGTAAACAAATCCTATGTGTGTCCGCAAAGACAAAAAAGAAATAACAATGAGTTTTAATGAACAACAAAACCTAAGAATTGTTGTTAATCGACAAGTTAAAATATGCATCTTGCCTTGTAAACATTAATTGTGATTAAACTTTTATTAAATATACAGTAATATGATTGAAATAAAAAGTTATGAAATGCATAAATGGGAAAACTGATGCGAAAAAAAAAAATGGTGAATATCAGTCTGGATTGTAAAATTCAATCCCGGTGCAACTGAAAATAACTTTCATGACGATAAATTAGGAAGAATCTTTTTGCTCCATTGCGTCCAATGTTTTATCACGAATCGATCAACACCAAAATAGTTCGCTGCCTTATAGATGATAAAAGCGTAGAGAACGCACAGCAAAAGATGGATGAAAGTCAAAATGTAGGGATGACCAACAAGATGGCTCGACAACTTCATGAAATTTCCTGCACCAGAAATGGTTCCGCTGGGCTTCGCTGATGTTTCCTGGAAAGACTTCATGTAAATTTCTTACCAAATAATTTAATATGTCTAAAATGCATTTCCAATACAAAAGCTTATTAGCGCAAAAAGCTATTGGTGTAAAAATGTACCTAAGACCTCGTAATTTCCATCTATCAGCTGAGAAGCATCTCAAAGGTGCTCTCTAGTAATTCTCTAACGAATGTCACAACACTCGAAATTATCTACAAGTATCGCTAATGAAAAAGGTGTAACACTGACTGGCATCTACCTCTGGTTACAGTAAACGAAAATAGTAAGTACCGAAGAGTGATTTTTAAGTGCGGCCGAATTGGCAGAAGTGATAATCGAATGATGTACATTGTTCGGCAGTAGCTTTTCAACTGAATCCGGTTTAATGGTCTGAGACGTCTAAAAGGAAACATTAATAAAGTGGAAGATAAATTGGTAACATAATTTCTTGTCCTTTTAAGCCATACATTAGGCCATACATCACATCATTTAAAAAGGGCCGGCCTTATGGAAAATCCGATAAAAAACAAAGAAAGGAACATACCAAACTTGTGGAAGGTTTCGAACGACGCAATTTACGACCACGTGATCGTGACCGTGAATTACGTCGCGAAAAATCCTTTTTCTTAATCAAAGGTATCGTTTGAGATATAGTGCCTTTTTTCGCCGATGTCTGCGCCATCTTCAAAAAATCAATACGTAATTAAAGCTTAACAAACAAAGAAGAAAAAAAAAAGGAAAAACAGATTTAAGGCAATAAATATATTAATTGCACGGTAAGGCATATATGATAACATACAACAAAATAAAGCTTAAGAATACGGTTCTTTGAACATGAGCATATAAAACAGTTCATTTTTTAAGTACGAATTTAACAGTAATAGTTCTTACTTCTAATAAAGGCGTTTTATCTCATATAAAAAACTTACAATCATCTTACCTTCACTGTTATCTCTACTTACGCAGAACTAGATGTCTATTTAAAACAATCTCTTCAGCAATCTTGCTAACTATTCATATTCTAATTAGTATTGCTTATCATTCTGCGCTATCAATGGCTGTCAGTTCCAATAAGGTTCTCCTAATCATCATGTCCCTCTATCTATCCCCTTCAACAAATCTAATAAGTCGGATGGCCCTTTTACAATACAAGAATGGAAGCAACTAGATAACTTGAATACTACTGGAATGATTTTCTGCTTTTGTGATATAGCCTCATGCCAATACCGCCCTAATACATACAATATAGTGGAACCATTAAACCATTTAACTATCAACTATTTCAAAATTATAACTCCTTATTATGAAAAGCCAGTAATGAATGGTAAAAGATATTTAAACATAAAACGATAATTTGAACCTGTAGCACAGGAAAATAATTAAATTCAAAACGATATCAACGGAACATTTCTAATAAAATTCGCAATAGTGCTGAATAGATTATATTTGAGCAGTTTATGCCACGGCCTTTATTACACTAATACAGCAGACTGAAGGAATAAATCAACCACTAAAGAACAATGGACGACCCTGACAGATAATGAAATGTCACCACGGTACTGCTGTTCTAATATAATGCAAAAATCCTAGCCCTTCTCTTCACCCTTTAACAGCCTCTTACTACCCATCGGCTACTTCATTACACAGCAAGGGAAGAAATGAACCCTCTTTCATAGCAATTCACATCAGATAATCACTTCACTCCACTGTCTATCTCCACCCACCTTAATTCATAAATTAATTGGAAAAAAAAAAAAATGTATTTCAGCCATCCGACTACAGACAGTGCTCTCCATTGTTTTCAAAAATTTACAAATTTTGTGTCACTCAAATAATCCTTAAAAAATGACTATGCGTAAAATGTGAAGCGTTGGATACCTCAGTTTAAAAGAGACAATCCAATTTTACAGTGTGCAGTTGTCAAGAACTTTCATATAATTTGAGTAGGGAGACTTGATTGAGTAGATTTTTCCATAATAAAATATAAAAACTTAAGTAATTCAGAAAAAGAGTACGAAATCAAAAAGCAAATGTCCATTTTCTAAATGAATGATTGAAGAACAAGGTGAAAAACACTTAAAAAAAAGTCGGAACAGAGACTCACAGTGCTCTTTCTTTCGAGGTCCGTGAGAAACACTAAACTTACTTTTTGCTCACCATCTACAAAACTTGGTGAAAAACCAAGTGGTGAAAGAGTTGATGGTGGCTCGGTGTGATTCGATTCAAACGAAATATTCTTCAAATTCGTGAAGTAAATCTGAGGCATTTTAAGACTTAAAGTTATAAAATTCAAATCACAGAAAGATAAATTGTTGGGACAAAATAAAATGCCACGTGCTTTGGTTAGTAAACACCAGGAGAACGATTTTAAAAGCAACAAACAACAGATAAAGTTGCATGAACACACCTGTAATTGATTTTCAGATTTTGTGCGAGATAATTTCATTTTTGGTGTTGATGAATTCAGAGGACCAACTCTCATTCGTGGTGAACGCCTCACTTCGCAGCTACTCATCTTTAAAGGCCAAACACTTCTTCGTTTGCTGTCAAAAAATGATTTTCAGATGCAAAACAAAAGATGAATATGTCACCTTCAAAATCAGAGAAAAAGTAGATGAAAAGGAAATACAATACAAATACTGCAAAATGTGGAAAGTTTTGTGCATAGTTATAAAATTCTATATATATGTATATATATATATATATGAAATCACTTACTGAACTAATAGAAATAAAATTATAAAAATCTTGAAAGCGTAATTGCTGAACTCAAAGAGATCGATGAAAATTTTCTGACCTCAAGTAAAATTACAAAAAACTAGAAGAGGAATAATCATCCACTTCATCTTACACAGAACAATAACAAAAAAATATATCAAATCCATGTAAATTAAATATTAACAAAATCACTGATAAAAGAATAATTGACAATTGTTCAAAGAATCTTTCCTAAAGAAAACTACAATGTGCAGAAACGAAGATTGTGATAATAATTAGGAGAGACTATAATGAAAAAGGCAAAAGGAAGTAAAAAGAACAGGCTGTTTCTGTTTTTGTGGTAATAATGGAGAAGATATCAACTACAGAAAATAAAATGTTGCACTGATTCATTGGTAAGTTCCGGATTACCGCTTATCCCTCTCTTTCCTTCTCCTTCTCTTTCTACATATATGTTCATGAATTGAGAAACGATAGAATTCTGCTAACAGTACTGAAAACAGTTTAAAAAGGAAAGACCTTTATGATGGACAGTACGGGTCAGAACAAGACGCAAAGTTATTTCTTGCGAGAAGACAATGTTATAATCTAATATGTAATTGACAAACAGATTGATCGAGATGAGCAAGGACATCTAAGCGTCAACTTGCAGGTCACGTTGACGTGTACGTCCGCCACGGGATGTCGTCACCCAATAGTTCTACCTCACGTCTCGGAAGAGCTAATAGAGAATGAACCAATGCAACGTTCAACTATAAACTTTGGCGCAATCACAAACTCGTTTTGAGCATTATTTTATACAAAACAGCACAAAAATTGTGATTTATTTATATTAGGATTGATTAGCTCATGAATTGATCGGTTGAGTGATTTGAGGATTAAGAGCTGATGAGCTATAGGATCTAATTGATGAATTAATTAATTCATATTTGAGAGTGATTCACAGCTAATTAATATTCATTATTTATCAAATGGCTCAAATGCAAATGACTTATAGCAGCTTGTAGATAATAGAAGAAAATGAATTTATTTCAGAATTACAATAAATTGCTAAATGCTATGAACTGATTTCTGTTGAGTTATAATTTATGACATAAATTATAACTCATTGATGTATGAATGAGTTATAATTTATGATCGTACAACGTATCACTAAGCCTAGCAAAATTCTAATGTTAACGTAAAAATAGAATACGATTAGGCTAGAAAATTTGAATGTGAAAAATAAATCTGAAAAACTGAGTTATAACATTTACTTTGCTTAATTTCAATTTTTACAATTACAATATTTCCCAGTCATATTACTTACTTACCAAAATTTTGTTGTAGCATTAAAAAAAAAAAAAAAAATTAGCTGAAAAATCAAAGTTCAAAGACAAATAGGAAGCACTTAAATTAGTTAGTTAATTCTTGAATAAATCTACTGGGCAATACTAGAGATAGGCGTAGTACAATCAACAATATTAAAGTTAAAGTATTATTTGGGTAAACATTCAACCAAAATCATTTGATGGAATTAATCGATGATCGTATATTCTCGTTGCAAGAATAAATGAGTAGCAAATGACAGAAAAGATGTGACAAGGAAGTAATTTACAGAACAAATAACTTATTGTTTATATCTATAGTTAGTAGTTTAAAAAAAAATTTCAAAAATTTGTGAACAATGGACAGTGTATAATTTAGTTTTGTGATGTGATCAAATATGATATTTTATTAATTTAATATTAATGATATTTTGCTTTCTGCTTGAGAATTGAAAATAAAATTGCTCAGAAGTTGTTGAAATTTAGCCAATATAAAAGATATCATTTAAATAAATCGGTTTCAGTAAGTGATTATCATTCAAGTAAGTGAATCCTTTTCAGTAAAAGATTATCATTCAAGTAAATGAATCCTTTTCAGTAAAAGATTATCATTCAAGTAAATGAATCCTTTTCAGTAAAAGATTATCATTCAAGTAAATGAATCCTTTTCAGTAAATGATTATCATTCAAGTAAATGAATCCTTTTCAGTAAAAGATTATCATTCAAGTAAATGAATCCTTTTCAGTAAATGATTATCATTCAAGTAAATGAATCCTTTTCATTAAATGATTATTATGCAAGAAAATGAAACACGTAAAAAGTAAGTCGAAAATGATAACAAAAGTATCACTTAAAACGTCCGTCATTCTCATTTTCTTCTTTTAACTTTTTGACGTTTCTGAAAAAAGAAAAGCAATAACTTTAATGTGATATTATCATCCACTAAAATATTTTAGTGTAAAAAAATGATTTTAAATGTAAGAATGAATAGAAAATGAATAGCATTCAATAAAAATGAAAAATGGAAAGTATTAATAACAAATTGATAGATTATATACCTTTTTTAAAGGTACTTTACGTTCAACTTTTTGCACAGCTTCCCAATTACTTATTGCATCATTAATTGTTTCACTCTGATTTGCTGGAATCATTTCACCTGAAATTATAATCTTAATTATATTTAAAGTATTCCTTTTTTTTTTTTTTTTTTTTTCAAAATATTAAATTTTATCAAAATCTGCTAGTAAAAGTAATGTAATTTTTATCCTTGCTAACCCTCTCTAATTTTTGCAATTGCTCTTCTTTGTGCTGGCGATTTTATCGTTTCTTTGGATACTTTTGGTTTTAATTCTTGCTATAAATTTAAATTTCATAAACAAATAAATAAATGCTACGACATGTAATCCATATTTAATGCAATCGTTTGCATGCCACCTTGTAAATATGAGTGCAACTTAGATTATATTTACTTTACATACAAAATGTTCAATTGAAATTTGGCGCTTTTTACACAAATGCGCTTTGAATGTATACATGAATGCCTCTTACAACAGTGTCACTTTTTTCAGTTGACAATTTTTTGCAGCATGTTGTGATTAGCAGCATGGTTATTCTAATAAATGTGCAATTTTGTAAGCAAATAGATGCAATTTTGATGATAATTGATAATGAAGCTATTGATTCCATTCTTTTTTCTTTTTTCTTTTTTGATTTGATTTGATTTGATTTGGTTTGATTTGATTTGTTCAACTGCACACACACTGCAAATTATATTATATTAAAATTTGAAGCAATCATTAAAAATGAAATTTTCTGTCAAAAAATAAGATTGATTATTATTTTTTTTTTTATAAATAAATATGATGATAATTGATTTAGTGATAAATTGATTGCAAGTATTTATAAATAAAATATTTTTTGAAATATTTTTCGTAAATGTAGAAGAAATTCCCACACAGTGTGCAGAAAATAATGAGAACTGCAAATGATGGCAACCGCTTCCGTAGTCGTAATAGTAAATAAATGAATGATAAATTATAAAATACGCCTTTTAAACTTTTTTCAAATAATTTTATTCTCATTATATGCAAATATTCTTCGATTTATTTAATATATTCCTTGCAGAAATATGCAAAAAATGATAAATTTCAATCATTTCTGCAATCTCAATGTAATCAAAATTTATTTAATTAGCATTTTAATTATATCCAAGAAAATTGATTTAAAAAAAATCATTAAAATATAAGCATATTAAATTTTTAAGCAAAAATTGAATGGATATGCCAAATAGAGGTCATTTTGAATGGACGATCGCTAATGCTAATAAATTTTGTTATGAATTTCAAATTATTATATTAAATAATTAGTGAATATTAATATCGTTTAAATTATAGAAATTTAATATCGTTCAAATTTGTATACTTCTTATGAATAATCTTGATGATCTGTTGATATATTATATTTCAATCAAAAATTTCCCGAATGTATCATTTAGAAAAACGAAGCAAAAAAAAAAAAAAAGTTTGCTCTGTTTAAAATTAAAAATCAATCAGTAAGTAAATGGTTTGAATTTACACATGAAAGTGAGTGAATGTTTCTAATTTAAAAGTTTAACGATTATTTCGTTGAAAAATTTCGGACAATTCGTGCGTGCATCTCAGTCCTATTTCAATTCATATCATTGCTCAACAAATGCAAAAATAGAGAACGATCGTGCTCTGTGACCCCTATTTGACCTATTTAATGTCCCCCTTTTTAGTGTCACATAATGCCATGAGGACAAGATGTTTTCATGTGAACTTGAATTACTATTTATCACTAATGGAGTCCAATGTTTGTTGTTTTTTTTTTTATTCTTTTTTTTTTTCCTTTTCTTTCTTTTTTCTTTTTTATTTTTTGGTATAATTATTGTAAGTTATTTTTACTGCAATATTATTTATAGTTTTAAAAAAAGGAAAAAAATTTGCACGAAGAGATGTCAATTGAAATGGAAAAGCATACAAATAAGCAATTCAGAATGAAAGAATTTCAAGAACGTCCATCTTTGTTGACGTAAAATTTTTCACGTAATAAATTTTTTCAAAAATATATTAAAATTCAAATATTGTTTTTGTCATAATTTCTTGTCACAATTACTGAATTACTTATTGAAATGATTTAAAAGTTATTCATTCATTTTTGAAAGGAAATAATTTTACTTCTTATTATGGAATTTTCAGAACACTTTTCACGCAAACAGATTTGTCATGTTTAAAGAATTTCTTCTGCGCCATGTTTTTCCTACTATTCTTGAAAACAGTATTTGAAGATAGCGTATCTCACGGGAAGTAAGTTGCTATGAACTGTACCATCTAACATACTTAAACGTACGTACACGTTCAATATTATTGTTTCAAGTGAACGTGTGAGTATAAACGAATCGTTCAGTGATGCACAGAATTTTAACGTCATTTTAAACGTTTTAAATAAAAATGCAACGTTGTTTTAAAAATATTTTATTGCTTATAAAATATATGAATTTAATTAGAAAGCCATAAAAATTATTTTCACACTTTTAGTCCAGTGCATCATTTATGGCTGATAAAATGGAATTTCAACAAATTACCAATAACTTTAATATTTTGGTGTTTATTAGCAGGTAGTACGTTGCTTATTTATTATAGCTTGCAATTCTGGAGTAGAAGACCATGCAAAACGGTAAGTAATTTAAAATAGTAAAGTACCATGCAAAACGGTAGGGAATTTGAAGTAGTAAAGTACCATGCAAAACTGTAAGTAATCTGAAATAGTAAAGTACCATGCAAAACGGTAGGGAATTTGAAGTAGTAAAGCATGCAAAACTGTAAGTAATTTGAAATAGCAAAGTACTATTCAAAACTGTAAGTAATTTAAAATAGTAAAGTACCAAGCATTGAATTAGAAAGAATTTGTAACCCTCAAATGGAGCATAATCATAATTTAAATTAATATAAAGTAGAAAATTCAATATCTAAAATCAAAAATACATGAACAAATTCACATTTTAATCACAAGTAAATGTCATCTGATAAAATATCTTCTTTTTAATCACTTATCACTCAGATATATTTCAGGAACCAATGAAAGATTTTATCATTTTATTGCTTCTCTATATTATCTATTTATGTGCATTATTCTATTGCTGTTTTCAATTTATTTTAACGATGCAACTCGAATGTGCTTGCACCTTTATTGTAACCTGCGAAAGTGTAAAAAATTCATTGTGTATTAGTATCAGTGATAAAATTATTTTGATAAGATTAGAAATGAGAAATAAATTTTAAATTTTATTTCAAATTTAATGATAACATTGGTTATCATAGCAATATGCAATGTAAAGAGTGAATGTTTTTTTTTTTTTCAATTAAAGAATTTTTGACAAAAGTAAATGAAATTTAAATTTAAATTTTAGACACGTATTTCAATGAAAGTTCATTCTTTCATACGTGAAGTATACTCGTTGGCAGTTCGTTTAAAAATTGAAGCTGGTAAAACTGATGGTCTCAAGGTATGCATTATTGTTAATTAAATTTTTCTTAACTTTTAATAAGTTTAAAAATTAATTGAAATTTCAAGAATTATTATTAGCAATAATATTAGATTACAAATTGATAATTTAATTTATGTACAATTCTTGATTAATTCTTTTATGTAAAATTTATTGGATATATTGTAACATTATTTACTTATTATTATTCGTCTAGCTATTAAAAAAAAACGAAAGATAAATTTTTTTGCTAATTAATTTTACTGATCTGATTAAATTTTACTGATCAGGATGATGACATTCCGGAAAAATATCCAACACTTGAGCAATACGTTTATTTTTTCTTCTGTCCCTCACTAGTCTTTCGTCAATCTTATCCCAGGTATTTTTAAATTTTTCTTTAAACGCATCTTTAATCCGATAAATTATATAATGCATAATGAATTTTTCAATCATTTCAATTTAGAAATTCAAATTGCAATTGGCAAGCTGTAAAAAATTATGCACAAGAGATTATTATTATTATTTATTGCGTGGATCTTATTTTTATACAAGTAAATTTTACTTTTCTAAATTTCATACTATTTTTTCTAATCAAATAAAAACATTCTTTCTTCTTCTTTCTTTTTTTTTTTTAAATGAATTCTAGCAAATTTGATGAAATTTTTTTTAAAATTTCAGATGATATTACCTCAATATGAGAAAGAGAATGTTACGGCAGTTAACTTTTCAGCAAAAGTAAGTAATATATTTAATTCGATAACAGCTGGTGCATTATGTTTACTATTACTCTTCTATGGTTTACTACATTGCTGGTTGAATATGTTTGCAGAATTATTGCGTTATTCAGATCGACAATTTTATTTGGTATTATTAAATTCTTTCAAAATTTATTTTCATTTTTATTAATTCATTGTAATCTTTTTTTTTTTTATTAGTCTAAAAAATTGAAAACAATTAATAAATTTATTGTTAAATGTTGAAAATGTGATAATAAGTGAGCTAATTAAGCTTTAGTAAAGTTAAAATTATGAAAAAAAAAAACTTCTTTCCTTCTTAATTTCAGAATTGGTGGAGTTCAAAATCGATGGCTGAATATTATCGATTTTGGAATTTAGTTGTACATGAATGGCTCTATGCTTATATTTATCGAGATATTTCACAGGTTATTTACAATTTAGAAATTAGATAGCAAATTCAAATATTGCATGAAGCAAAAATTTAGCAAAATAATCATATGAAATTATTTTTTTTTTAATTTTAAATATTTTATAGATGATTGGAGGAAAGAAAGGTCTTTTCATTGCTCAAACAATGGTATTTTTCTTTTCATCAATATTTCATGAGTACTGGTTTGGTTTGGCTTTAAGAATGTTCTATCCTATCATATTCACCTTATATTTCATTTTCGGAGGTATTTGACCTATATTTTTCACAAAATTTAGAAAATGAAAAGCTCTCAATTATTTTGCCTCTCTCTCTCTCTCTCTCCCCTTTCTCTCTCTCACAAACACAGAGAAATGATTGAAATATACAAGTTACTTTCTAATTTACTCAAGTTAAAAATGTTTTCAATAATACAAATTATTTAATGAAAATAATTTGAGAGTTATCAAGAAAAAAAAGTTTCATAAATTATTTATGAATTATTAATTGTCAAATATGAAAAAAAAAAAAAAAAAAAAAATTGCAGTAAAAATGAATTTGAAAAAGAGTTTTTTTCTTCTTCAATTTCATCCTGAAAAAAAAAAAATAGGTCAATCAAATAAAAAAAAATCAAATAAAAAAATTTTATAGGAATTTTCTATTCGTTATCACAATTTATCACTTCAAAACAAATTTGGAATATAGCAATGCATACAAATTTATTAATTGGTACTGGATTATTTGTATCGTTGTACAGTGAAGAATGGTATGCTAGACAACGTTGTGATCCATATTTTAATCATTTTATTCTTGATTTTATCATACCTCGTCATTGGTTCTGTCAAACATTAAACATTGATCGATAATTTTGTTTTTTAAAAAAAATTCTTTCATATTAAAAGCATTTATTTCTTTTAATTTTTGTTTTAAAAATTTCAAGAAAAAAAAACCAATTAATTAATGGTATTAATTTTGAATTTATTTGTATAATTCAATTTATATTTACTTGAATTTTTATATATTTATTTGTATATTTGAATTTATATTTCAAAATATAATTTTCAAATAAAATTTATTTCAGTTAAAAAAATTTCAGTTTTTTTTTTTTTTTTTGAATTTGCTAATGTATATGAAACATATAAAACTTTTGAAAATTTAATTTTGAAAAGTTTTATTCGCTTCAACTGAACAAATGATCTGCTTGTAATTAGCAAATTTTACTGCTTCAGAAATAATTTTCAATAAACGCTGATAATTGATAATGAATTGTTAATGTAATGATAAGATGTTAAACAAGAAATTTTGACTACTAAATTGATAACTTTGATTTATTTGGAAACAATTTAGAATCAACAAAAAACTCTATCTGATTTAGAGATTTCAATAGATTTAAATTACAGTACTTGCAAACATTGTGAATTAGCAGATCAG